AAGGCTATTGATTCAATGATAATTACGATGATAATTATTATAACTTGACTGAAGTAAAGAATTTCTTGGTCCTTGGTCGACCTTGGAGACGAAGTACATTTTAGAGGCTGTTGATTCAATGATAATTACGATGATAATTATTATAACTGACTGAAGTAAAGAATTTCTTGGTCCTTATTTCACGACCTTGGAGACGAAGTACATTTTAAAGGCTATTGATTCATTGATAATTACGATGATAATTATTATAACTTGACTGAAGTAAAGAATTTCTTGGTCCTTGGTCGACCTTGGAGACGAAGTACATTTTAGAGGCTGTTGATTCAATGATAATTACGATGATAATTATTATAACTGACTGAAGTAAAGAATTTCTTGGTCCTTAATTCACGACCTTGGAGACGAAGTACATTTTAAAGGCTATTGATTCAATGATAATTACGATGATAATTATTGATAATTACGATGATAATTATTATAACTTGACTGAAGTCAAGAATTTCTTGGTCCTTAATTCACGACCTTGGAGACGAAGTACATTTTAGAGGCTATTGATTCATTGATAATTACGATGATAATTATTATAACTTGACTGAAGTAAAGAATTTCTTGGTCCTTGGTCGACCTTGGAGACAAAGTACATTTTAGAGGCTGTTGATTCATTGATAATTACGATGATAATTATTATAACTTGACTGAAGTCAAGAATTTCTTGGTCCTTAATTCACGACCTTGGAGACGAAGTACATTTTAGAGGCTATTGATTCATTGATAATTACGATGATAATTATTATAACTTGACTGAAGTAAAGAATTTCTTGGTCCTTGGTCGACCTTGGAGACAAAGTACATTTTAGAGGCTGTTGATTCAATGATAATTACGATGATAATTATTATAACTTGACTGAAGTCAAGAATTTCTTGGTCCTTAATTCACGACCTTGGAGACGAAGTACATTTTAGAGGCTATTGATTCATTGATAATTACGATGATAATTATTATAACTTGACTGAAGTAAAGAATTTCTTGGTCCTTGGTCGACCTTGGAGACAAAGTACATTTTAGAGGCTGTTGATTCATTGATAATTACGATGATAATTATTGATAATTACGATGATAATTATTATAACTTGACTGAAGTCAAGAATTTCTTGGTCCTTAATTCACGACCTTGGAGACGAAGTACATTTTAGAGGCTATTGATTCATTGATAATTACGATGATAATTATTATAACTTGACTGAAGTAAAGAATTTCTTGGTCCTTAATTCACGACCTTGGAGACGAAGTACATTTTAAAGGCTATTGATTCATTGATAATTACGATGATAATTATTATAACTGACTGAAGTAAAGAATTTCTTGGTCCTTAATTCACGACCTTGGAGACGAAGTACATTTTAAAGGCTATTGATTCATTGATAATTACGATGATAATTATTGATAATTACGATGATAATTATTATAACTTGACTGAAGTCAAGAATTTCTTGGTCCTTAATTCACGACCTTGGAGACGAAGTACATTTTAGAGGCTATTGATTCATTGATAATTACGATGATAATTATTGATAATTACGATGATAATTATTATAACTTGACTGAAGTCAAGAATTTCTTGGTCCTTAATTCACGACCTTGGAGACGAAGTACATTTTAGAGGCTATTGATTCATTGATAATTACGATGATAATTATTGATAATTACGATGATAATTATTATAACTTGACTGAAGTCAAGAATTTCTTGGTCCTTAATTCACGACCTTGGAGACGAAGTACATTTTAGAGGCTATTGATTCATTGATAATTACGATGATAATTATTGATAATTACGATGATAATTATTATAACTTGACTGAAGTCAAGAATTTCTTGGTCCTTAATTCACGACCTTGGAGACGAAGTACATTTTAGAGGCTATTGATTCATTGATAATTACGATGATAATTATTGATAATTACGATGATAATTATTATAACTTGACTGAAGTCAAGAATTTCTTGGTCCTTAATTCACGACCTTGGAGACGAAGTACATTTTAGAGGCTATTGATTCATTGATAATTACGATGATAATTATTGATAATTACGATGATAATTATTATAACTTGACTGAAGTCAAGAATTTCTTGGTCCTTGGTCGACCTTGGAGACGAAGTACATTTTAGAGGCTATTGATTCATTGATAATTACGATGATAATTATTATAACTTGACTGAAGTCAAGAATTTCTTGGTCCTTAATTCACGACCTTGGAGACGAAGTACATTTTAGAGGCTATTGATTCATTGATAATTACGATGATAATTATTATAACTTGACTGAAGTAAAAAATTTCTTGGTCCTTGGTCGACCTTGGAGACGAAGTACATTTTAAAGGCTATTGATTCATTGATAATTACGATGATAATTATTATAACTTGACTGAAGTAAAGAATTTCTTGGTCCTTGGTCGACCTTGGAGACGAAGTACATTTTAGAGGCTGTTGATTCAATGATAATTACGATGATAATTATTATAACTGACTGAAGTAAAGAATTTCTTGGTCCTTAATTCACGACCTTGGAGACGAAGTACATTTTAAAGGCTATTGATTCATTGATAATTACGATGATAATTATTGATAATTACGATGATAATTATTATAACTTGACTGAAGTCAAGAATTTCTTGGTCCTTGGTCGACCTTGGAGACGAAGTACATTTTAGAGGCTATTGATTCATTGATAATTACGATGATAATTATTATAACTTGACTGAAGTCAAGAATTTCTTGGTCCTTAATTCACGACCTTGGAGACGAAGTACATTTTAGAGGCTATTGATTCATTGATAATTACGATGATAATTATTATAACTTGACTGAAGTAAAAAATTTCTTGGTCCTTGGTCGACCTTGGAGACGAAGTACATTTTAAAGGCTATTGATTCATTGATAATTACGATGATAATTATTATAACTTGACTGAAGTAAAGAATTTCTTGGTCCTTGGTCGACCTTGGAGACGAAGTACATTTTAGAGGCTGTTGATTCAATGATAATTACGATGATAATTATTATAACTGACTGAAGTAAAGAATTTCTTGGTCCTTAATTCACGACCTTGGAGACGAAGTACATTTTAAAGGCTATTGATTCATTGATAATTACGATGATAATTATTGATAATTACGATGATAATTATTATAACTTGACTGAAGTCAAGAATTTCTTGGTCCTTAATTCACGACCTTGGAGACGAAGTACATTTTAGAGGCTATTGATTCATTGATAATTACGATGATAATTATTGATAATTACGATGATAATTATTATAACTTGACTGAAGTCAAGAATTTCTTGGTCCTTGGTCGACCTTGGAGATGAAGTACATTTTAGAGGCTATTGATTCATTGATAATTACGATGATAATTATTATAACTGACTGATGTAAAGAATTTCTTGGTCCTTAATTCACGACCTTGGAGACGAAGTACATTTTAAAGGCTATTGATTCATTGATAATTATTGATAATTACGATGATAATTATTATAACTTGACTGAAGTCAAGAATTTCTTGGTCCTTAATTCACGACCTTGGAGACGAAGTACATTTTAGAGGCTATTGATTCATTGATAATTACGATGATAATTATTGATAATTACGATGATAATTATTATAACTTGACTGAAGTCAAGAATTTCTTGGTCCTTGGTCGACCTTGGAGATGAAGTACATTTTAGAGGCTATTGATTCATTGATAATTACGATGATAATTATTATAACTGACTGAAGTAAAGAATTTCTTGGTCCTTAATTCACGACCTTGGAGACGAAGTACATTTTAAAGGCTATTGATTCATTGATAATTACGATGATAATTATTGATAATTACGATGATAATTATTATAACTTGACTGAAGTCAAGAATTTCTTGGTCCTTAATTCACGACCTTGGAGACGAAGTACATTTTAGAGGCTATTGATTCATTGATAATTACGATGATGATTATTGATAATTACGATGATAATTATTATAACTTGACTGAAGTCAAGAATTTCTTGGTCCTTAATTCACGACCTTGGAGACGAAGTACATTTTAGAGGCTATTGATTCATTGATAATTACGATGATAATTATTGATAATTACGATGATAATTATTATAACTTGACTGAAGTCAAGAATTTCTTGGTCCTTGGTCGACCTTGGAGACGAAGTACATTTTAGAGGCTATTGATTCATTGATAATTACGATGATAATTATTATAACTTGACTGAAGTCAAGAATTTCTTGGTCCTTAATTCACGACCTTGGAGACGAAGTACATTTTAGAGGCTATTGATTCATTGATAATTACGATGATAATTATTATAACTTGACTGAAGTAAAGAATTTCTTGGTCCTTGGTCGACCTTGGAGACGAAGTACATTTTAGAGGCTGTAGATTCAATGATAATTACGATGATAATTACTATAACTGACTGAAGTAAAGAATTTCTTGGTCCTTAATTCACGACCTTGGAGACGAAGTACATTTTAAAGGCTATTGATTCATTGATAATTACGATGATAATTATTGATAATTACGATGATAATTATTATAACTTGACTGAAGTCAAGAATTTCTTGGTCCTTAATTCACGACCTTGGAGACGAAGTACATTTTAGAGGCTATTGATTCATTGATAATTACGATGATAATTATTGATAATTACGATGATAATTATTATAACTTGACTGAAGTCAAGAATTTCTTGGTCCTTGGTCGACCTTGGAGATGAAGTACATTTTAGAGGCTATTGATTCATTGATAATTACGATGATAATTATTATAACTGACTGAAGTCAAGAATTTCTTGGTCCTTAATTCACGACCTTGGAGACGAAGTACATTTTAGAGGCTATTGATTCATTGATAATTACGATGATAATTATTATAACTTGACTGAAGTCAAGAATTTCTTGGTCCTTGGTCGACCTTGGAGACGAAGTACATTTTAGAGGCTATTGATTCATTGATAATTAATGACATTTGTGATTTTCATATTTTTTTTGGCGTAACATAATAAACCACGTCCATTTCGATTGTAATTTGATCGGTAGACTACTCTAAATGTTGTGTCATCAATGTCCACTTTGTCAGAAGCTTTCGTTAGCGTTTCGCTTAATGTAACAATATCGCCTCTGCGAAACCACCGATCAGCATTTATATGAGACATTTTGTTTTTTAGTGTACCAACATTCTGATATATCAATACCGGAGATGTTACGTCTTTTAATATATTATAAGATAAGTTTAATGTTTTGGTTGCGCGTAGGCGATTTATTTCGACCAATGAACGTTTCATGGTAACATCATTTGCGCTTGTAGATGGTTGTGTATCAAAACTGCCCAATATATATAAACCGCTCAATTTTTTCACTCGACTCAAAGCAACGTAAAGCATCGACTTATCTCTTCGCTCTTTTTTAGTGAAATCTAGACATATCGCGTCATAAGTTTGACCTTGGGCTTTATGAATTGTCATAGCCTCTGCAGGTACTAATGGGAATTGATTACGAATAACATGATATTTTTCATCATCGCCGGCATTCGTCTTGATGGCCATTCTTTTAATCGGTGTCCAATTGGTATTTATTTGATGTTCTATCATGTATTCGTAATGACATAATCTTGCCTTTTTTCCTACCCGTTGCATCTGAAAGTCGAGCCAAACGATTTCGGGTTTATTAGTTTGTCCATTGAAAGTCACCAGTCTCAAAATCCCGCACGCTCCATTGACAAGTCCATCCTCGATATCTATGTTGTAATTAATCATGTATTTTATGCTGATCTTGAAATTTATTTTATTTTCTAGTCTGAAATCATCACCAGCTCTAGTTCGCAACAGTTTATTCATAGATTGCTTTAGATGTTCGGCTGAATTGTTCGAAAATGAATTTTCAGCTTCTGACACAATTAATACATTGGTGTTACTTTCAATTTTCATCTCATTGTACATGCTTACATTTTTGTTCGTTCCGTACAATCTGATAGCATATTCAGGAACATCATCCGGTTTCACCTCTCGTTCCTTTATCAATGCCAGATCTTCATTGGTCAATGCGTCATTAGCGAGATTATTTAGAGCATTAATAAACAACAAATCATCTCTTTGCCTCATTACTTCAGTTAGTTCATAGAAGTGGAATTCATTCCAGAGTGGATTGACGTCAAAAAATGCTTCCATCTCGTTGTGACGAGAAACTTGATACACCGGCCTATCTTTCACAGGCGGCAACTGGTTCAAGTCTCCCACCGCCAATATTGAAACGCCTCCAAATGGTTCATTTACGCCTTTGATTTGCCGGAGACGTGTGTCAATTCGGCTCAACGTGGCACTGCCTACCATAGAAATTTCATCGATAATCACGAGCTGAACTTTCGATAATTTCTCTCGAACTGTGTTGACTAAGTCGCTAGAAAGCTGGACTAAGTTAACGCCAAATTGCTTGGTGGGCAAAACAAATGCGGAATGAAGCGTCATACCATTGATTAGGAAGGCTGCTTTTCCGGAGGGAGCGCATAATAGAACAACTATTTTGTCCATATCACCTCCTGGCAAACTATCGAAATAGTTGGTAATTAGCTGATAAATTGCCTCAATAACCGTGCTTTTGCCAACGCCGGCTGATCCACTTAGGAATATTTGAAATGGCAACTTGCCCAACTTGTAACAGTGAAGGATATGCAGTACAAATTCTTTTTGCTTTGCGTTCAAACAAATCATTAATTTGTACAGTTCCTCTTGTGAAATTCTCGTTGGGCATGTGTATCTACTTTTAATGACAGGCGTTTTGGTTTTACTAACACCATCGTTTTTGACACCGCCTTGTTGAAATATATCAACGTCAAAACCCTCTGGCATATCCGCTGCATCATCATTGTCAGGATTGGCATAAAGTTCATTGTCAACCAATTGCATGATTTGATCGATGCAGTCATCGCTGATAATTGAGAATTTTGCCTGATTGTCCTCAATGATGTTTTTGAAACGATTGTATTGTGTCTGAAAGTCAACATTTTCCACTTCTGTCTGTTCATTCCTCCATGGCTTGAACAGGAGAAGTTTCTCTCTATAATAATTAGCAGCATCTTGATCGGCCCTGTATCGAACATATCTGATTATAGCAGATTTGCCCCGCCTTGCATTATCTTCATTTTGTTCCTCACTGCCTTTGTCCTCGTCGAACGCTTTATGCAGTTTGCGTACTTCGTAGTTCGCAGCAAAATCTGCTAAACATATATATTCGAGGTGTTTTGGCCGTTTGGTGTATCTATCAAATATGTCCGCCATAAAGATCTCTGTTGAATCTTCATTCAACTTTTCTAAACAGTTGCTCGATTTCAGCATGTGAACGCGCTCCTTTGAAGGACTGGTGTTGATGAATATTGTTTTTCTGCTTTGTTTTGACAGTGACAGAGAAAGTACATGATAGGCCGCTTCCTGCGCTGACATCAAGTTGTGGTTCAAGAATAAATTCGTAATTTTACGGAATTTATCTTTCACGCTAACATTGTTGTTATCACAGTCTGCGGCTGCCTCGCGTAGTAGCTTTGATAATCCTCCTTCGATTTTACTGATGTAATTCGTAACATAGCTTATCGCGCCATACTCATCGATTATAAATTGTAAATCTATGTTCGATTCGAACAAATGCAAAATATCGCGGTTGTAAGAGTTAATGCCGACTTCCATACTGGAGCGCTTCAAAAATAATCGGCTTTGTTTGAGCGTACTGCGTATAGCCAACAGATATTCTGCCTCAGACATATCCAATTCCTGCAGAACATCGTCAAAGCTTACAAATTTCCGTTCCGCATAGAAGGTGTTCATCAGTTTGTCAATTTCCTTGTAAGGCCTTTTGGATATTTCACCTTCTTGCAGTGGCTCCAATATCATAGTGCTTCTCATTACAGGATGCGGTATTTTGAATCTGCAGGTTTTTGCTTTTTGTCCTTTATAACACGTATGACCATGTCTATGCATTTGCAATTTCACGTAAGGGTCCTCAGGATCATATTTGCACGTTAGGAATTTATCAATAAAGTCTATAAAGTTATTGTTCTGATTAGAATCTGCCTGATATTTGGGTGCATTCTGTAGCCATAGAAGAATATGCTCGTGAGGACTCCCACGTTGCTGAAATTCAACACGCTCATAGCTGTCTACAACCTTATGGCAGCCAAAAATACTATCTCCTTGCCTAAGTAACCACATCAGTTTATTAACTTTGAAATCAAAGTATCTGGCGCAGCTGACGGGATCATTCCTTATTAGGTTGGTCTTGATGTTCTGATCCAATAAATAAGCGTCCCGTGTTGATATACTTCTATCAAAGTTACTATATTTCATGAGCGTTTTCAATAGCTCAGGCCAATGTGACTCTGCTGCAGATAGTGTTAGGAATAGAGTCGGTCTGCCAAGCTGTCTGATCATAGCTAACAGTTTCTTTTTCTTGTCCTGCCAAAATGCTGGTGAAGATCTGAAGTTCTTCAAAAGACGATACCCGTCATCGAATTCAATCAGGCTGTTTAGGAAATTTCTATTCTGTACATCCGAAACGGTGAAACTCGCTTCGTTACCTTTTCTGCGCCTCAGACATATGTTCAGATTTGCTGAGCACGAAATTTCCATAAACTTCTTTGCCATGAATAGTATTCGTGTCGGTACGCATGACCGACGATCGTGTCGTCGAATCTCAGATTTTGTTCGGTCCTTGTATGATAATTTTACATTTGGTGAAAAAGTATGTCCTGCAAAAATTTTAGGGAAGCAAAGTTCATCAACATCTTCAATCTTGTGCCATGGCAAAGGTAATTTATTTTGGCCAGGCGCAATTACTTTTACCATTTCAGCTTGTCCTTTCGCTGTGATATCATTATTGTCGATCAACATAGTTTCATCATTATTGATTTGATCCAAATCAAAAACTGCCTGCGCATCGACATTGATATTTGGCACAAGATTGCAATTTTCGTTGATGTTCTCTTGATTTGAAAAAGAAACAGTATCGTTAATTGCATCGCTCTTATCAACTATAAAATTTACTTCTTCATTCATTAAGTTTTCGCAATTATCGAAATATTTTTCATCAAATGTTATTTCATACTTTTTATACAAGGGCGTGTTAATTAAATATCTGATAGCTTTGCAAATGAATTTCGGTCGAACCGACTCGAACATGTAATCGCTCTTATGATCTAGGTGGCGCTTCAATTTCACTTGTATGGTTTTCATTTCGCTAAATTTCCTGGGCAAAACCTTTAAACATTCATTCACTTCGATGGGTATGTTGACCACGCTGCCTTTCAATCCAAGTTGTGGTTTGAGGGCATACGGTTTCAGAGATCGGATCTGCATAAAATTTATAACTGGCGACACCATGCGCTCCTCAAGATCTGTCAATTGTTCTAAATATTCGGGAACCTTTTCAAACTTCAGTCCATTACTTGTTGCCAGTTTATAAATTTCTCCACGATATGCATGGAGACCGCACGTGGAACATATCCATCCAGAGTTAAAATTGACAATACGCGACATAAATTCATCCACATCTATTGCATTATTAATTAGAGAATTTTGTGCATTTAGTTCTTGAATTTTTTTAACAACAGTATCTTCGCGAAATTTTGATATTGAATGCTTAAAAAACAGCCCTTCGCAGCAACAACATATATGAGAAGGCGTTTCTTCCCTTAATTTAATAAATTTTAATTTCAATTTGGCCAATGTATTTCGCTTAGATTCCTGTTGTAAGCCGCTATAAATTTTATTTCTAAAATTCAGAATATCAACATCTCTGTTCTTACTTTGGCTTTCTGCATTAATTTGCAACTCTTTCTGGTATTTTGTTGCGTCATTCCTATTGTGCCTCATTCTGCATTTATTCTCTAATCGTTCATTTTCGGCATAGATGTTAGACTTGCGAATGTTTCGCATTCGGCGGATGTTTTTATGGCGTTCTTGACATTTATATGTAGCATTGCTGCGTAAACTATTTTTTCGGAGAACGTTATTGTTCTGTTCATTAGATCTATAAATGATATTCTTTCTCAAATTTTGATTTCTCAAAATATTGGTTGCGGCTTCATTGGTTTTGTATTTGATATTTTGCCTTAAATGTTTATTTCTCGAAATGTTTTTAGCAGCCTCGCCTGTCTTGTATTTGATGTTATGTCTTAATTTTATATTTCTCGATACGTTTTTTTCAGCTTCACCTGACCTGTATTTGAAATTTTGCCTTAAATTTTTGTTTCTCATAATATTTTCGACACTCTCTTTGGCTGTGTAATTACTATTTTTGCGAATCAAATTCATCCGTAGTTGATTCTTTCGTCGTTCGCGCATCGCATTTTCTTGTCGTCTCCTTTTGGCGATTTCATTACGCCTGTAACGTGCGTCTTCTCGCGATTTCTTCATGCGATTCCTGTTTTTCTCCTTTTCCGCTTCCCTATATTCACATTCGCTATTCCTCTTTGTTGCCATGCACTCATTTCGCTTCGAACGCCTGTTCGTCAAACGTCGGTCCGTGGCCGAACACTGCGAACCCGTCAACTTCGACGTCCTAACGTCAAGGGCGTCCGAACTGCGTATTTGGTCATCGTTGACCCTAAGCAATGGCTTACCTTTGTCTTTAGCTTTCTTGTGCACCTTTCCATTTGCATTCTTATAAATGCATTTTTTATTTTTATTTTTACTTCTGAATGATTTACGTTTCACATTCATTTTTCAATTTTCAAAAGTAGTAAATCTAAAACCATTATCATGTTATTTGCCAATATATTTATTGAATTATATAAATATATTATTATACTGTTCGAAGCATAAAGACATATGCAATTTAACCTCTTTTTATTTGTATATTAAATAATGACCAGTTATTTAAAAATCAAAATAAAGATAAAAAAAATATTCATGAGTTTGACAAGTGTCAAATCACAAAGTCACTAATTATCAAAAACCATTTTAATTAATTACTCATACATTATGTAATTCATTTATGTTGTACAATTAAGTAATATATTTATATATAAAATTTAATTATTCCGTAAAATAATCTTTTTAATTATATATTAATATATTTTATATATTATTATTAAAAAAATTGTTCATATAAATATAAATATTTACGAGATTGACAAAAAGGCATTTATATGCACATTAAGAAAATCATATATATATATATATATATATATATATATATATATATATATATATATATATATACAATATATATATCTTTTATTACTTATGTATAAGAACGTTACAACTTACAAACGGAATATATTTTATCTTACCTCAAATTATAAATATTCACACGTTTTGGCACTAATTTGTAAACACTAATATTTTTCAATTAATATTGATTCTATAATATCAGATACTTGATGTATTTTGTTTTATCGTCGACGGTAATGTGATTAGTACAAAACACGTGACAAAAAATATCTCTAAGTTTAATATTTTAAATTCCATACGACATCACTATTTTAGGATGTCCGTTTAGGGTAATAACTCTATCGACTTGTTAAATACCACCAGAAAGGCAAAAAAAAATCAACGTTTTATTGCGAAGAAACGGATGATTCAATCTTCAAAAACTAATCACCACTACTACCAAATGATATCTTTAAAATGATTTAGGAAAACTTATAATTTTTTCAAAGTTTGATTATGAAACGACATATCATAGGATCGTAATATTTTTAGTATTTACTATGAACAGTAATATTTACCAGAAAATTACAAAAAGCGATTTTTACAGAAAACTAATCCGTACGATTTGTAACCATGTTCTTTAGAATGGTTGTTGAATTTCCAAAATGGATTCAGGGTTGTGAGCTGAAACGTGGACAAAAAATTTTAACATTACTGCCCATGAAGAGTAATAATAGAGCAATTCCGTTTCACACTATATGAGTGGTTTCAGCATATAACAGATGGGGCTACTGAGCTTCATATATTTTTCACAACATATTTGTGATTTTGTTGAAAACATATTTTATACCCGTATATTTTTTGTCTCATTTCATTTAGTCAAATTAATCAGGAATATCTTTTCTATATCACATATTCTAATAAATCATCTAGAATTGAACCTAATGGCTAATTTACATGCTACGGTTGTTGGCGACATCTATGATATGCTGAAAAAATTACTAAATTATTAAATTAATTGATGTAATGTCATAGCGGCCGTGTTTGCCATATATTTATACTTGTTTCTTTATGCTTCTGCCTAAATTTGAAATTTTTCTTATCAGTTTTGTAGTTTATGAGGAAACGTCGATGAAATGTCTAATTTTGACAGACGCTTAAAAACGTTGCTAGAATTTTTCAAACTTTGATGATTTTTAAAGATTAAACTACTTGTCGTAAGGTTGTAATATTCCAATAAGTTGTATAAGACCATGATATATATCATTGAAAAAAGTTACATAAAAATCCGTATGAACTTTTCTTTTCAACAGTTAATTACAAGAAAACGGCTCGGTAGATTTTCACCCAAAACTAATCAGTACCATTCCCAACTAATATCTTTCGAACAGTTTTTGACTATTTAAAATCGGTTCGGTAGGATGAGCTTAAATGTGGACGAAAAGTTTAACACTTTTTCTCAAATTACAAAGAAACGGCTTGGCAGATCGACGCACAAAACTGACAAACGATAGTCCTCATCGAGATACATCAAATGGCTTTTAAATTTCTGAAATCGGTTCAGGCATTTTTGAGAAAACGTCGATGAAAGGTCTAACTTTGACAAATGCCAAAAAAACGATACCAATTTTTGCAAACTTTGACAAATTTTTAAAGCTAAACTAATTGTCGTAGAGCCGTAATATTTTAGTATGATCTAGAAGACTATGGTATCTACCGTCAAAAAAATAATAATAAAAATCGCCGAAAAAAATTTTTTTAACACTTTATTACAAGAAAACGGCGCGGCCGATCACTACCAACAACTCATCAGCACGATTCCCAATCAATATCTTTCGAACGGTTTTTGAATTTTCAAGATCGATTCAGAACTGTGGGCTAAAACGTGGACGAAAAATTTTTCACTTTTCTGCTATTTACAAAGAAACGGCTTGGCTGATCGTCGCGCAAAATTGATAAACGCTAGTCCTCATCGAGATACATCGAATGGCTTTTAAATTTTTGAAATCGGTCCAGCCATTTTTGAGAAAACGTCGATTTACGGCAAAAAATCTGTTCACACACACACACACACACACACACACACACATACTTTTTCCAAATTTGGTCTCATTCGATTCAGAATGGCTTGAAACGTCGAGAAAACATAAAATTAGCAAATCGGATTTTTTGATGAAAACATAAACTTCTCCTTCGGGAAGTTAATAATAATATTTTGTCAATTTGAATTTTTTTTTTTAAGTATTAGGATTTTGGTTGTACTTGGGTAACATTTTTGTAACAATGGGTAGTTCGATTATTGTTCACACCACTATTATTTTGTTGACTTCACGTAACCATCAAGGTTAAGTTCAAGTAAATATTGTTAACTAAGCATTTTTTTAACAAAAACAATTACGAGCATTGCCAGGTCCGAATTTCATAACAGAAATATTTCAAAGTAAAATAATTGTAAAGATTAGTAACAAAGTCATCAAGTAATAATATAAAAGACTCAAAAAGTAATATTGAAAAGTTAGTGACTCTAGTTAATGACTTTGAGTATCCTATCAAGAGTAAATTTACATCTGTTGATCTTTCATAACGTCGCGATTTTTAATGTGGCTTTAAATGCCAGTATCAGGGCGAAATGCCTAAAGGATTTAGTGTAGCCATTGTGCCACTTTTCAGGCGATAGTGACAATCCTTCATTTCAGATAGCCTAATATTAAATTGTTCAAAAGAAACAATAGGTATCTGACAAATAAATAATTAATAAGGGTAGGAAAAACCCGAATGGAGACTCGTAAGGTTAGTGATAATTTTTTTACGTTGATAAAGTTAGTAACCCGGCTTTCGAGCGGTCTAACGCCAACATCGTAGATATCGCAGTTCAGGATGATACTATTTTCAATTCAATTAATATTTATTCCCTGCAATCGCGAATCATTTTTTATGTTGATAAAGTTAGTAACCCGGCTTTCGAGCGGTCTAACGTCAACATCGTCGATATCGCAGTTCAGGTTGATATAATTTAAAAACTTGGCTTCTGATGACTATTAAGCCTCAAAGGTAAAGTGTGTGCAATAAATTGCAAAATTACCCTTCTAAATATAATAATCCCATTATTGTACTATTTTTTTATTAACGGTATCTAAATCCTTGAGTAAATTTTAGTTAAATTTATATAATTGTACATAATTGTACATTCGATCAATTGGGTTAACATATTGTAAGAAGATTCATCATATCATGTAACATGAACGATACAAATTTCAAAATATTAATCAACTTAATTTATTTATAATTTATTTTTGCGAACTTTCGAATTTTTATGAATCTTGACGTTTATAACTTTGACTTTGTTTCTGTAATTGTCTGAAAATTTGAGTTTATTTCTAACTTTCAACATATTTATATCAATTATAATACCAATAATTTGAAATTTTATTTTTTGGTTTATTGAATTATTTTACAAAAAAAAAAAATTTAATACACTCGTGATTATGCATTTAATTGATAATAAATAACTATGAATTTCGAACGTTCAATTATAATAAGACCAACAACAAAAATAGAATTTTTATCACCTCTAAGTATTTATTCAATTACAACAAAAGTAATTTTGATGCATAGTATCAATAATTCACATGGAAATAAAATACAGAAAAAAAAATAATAATTTGTATCAATTATTCTGAAATTGAATGGCCACTCATTTTTTATTAACTTCCCGAAGGAGAAGTTTATGTTTTCATAAAAAAATCCGAATCGCTAATTTTATGTTTTCTCGACGTTTCAAGCCATTCTGAATCGAATGAGACCAAATTTGGAAAAAGTATGTGTGTGTGTGTGTGTGTGTGTGTGTGAACAGATTTTTTGCCGTAAATCGACGTTTTCTCGAAAATGGCTGGACCGATTTCAAAAATTTAAAAGCCATTCGATGTATCTCGACGAGGACTATTGTTTGTCAGTTTTGTGCGACGATCGGCCAAGCCGTTTCTTTGTAAATAGCAGGAAAGTGAAAAATTTTTCGTCCACGTTTTAGCCCGCAGTTGTGAATCGATCTTGAAAATTCAAAAACCGTTCGAAAGATATTGATTGGGAATCGTGCTGATGAGTTGTTGGTAGAGATCGGCCGGGCCGTTTTCTTGTAATAAAGTGTTAAAAAATTTTTTTCGACGATTTTTATTATTATTTTTTTGACGGTAGATACCATAGTCTTCTATATCATACTAAAATATTACGGCCCTACGACAATTGGTTTAACTTTGAAAATTCGTCAAAGTTTGCAAAAATTGGTATCGTTTTTTTGGCATTTGTCAAAATTAGACCTTTCATCGACGTTTTCTCAAAAACGCCTGAACCGATTTCAGAAATTTAAAAGCCATTTGATGTATTTCGATGAGCACTATCGTTTGTCAATTTTGTGCGACAATCTGCCAAGCCGTTTCTTTGTAATTTGAAAAAAAGTGTTAAACTTTCCGTCCACATTTAAGCTCATCCTACCGAACCGATTTTAAAAAATCGAAAACTGTTCGAAAGATATTGGTTGTGATTGATGCTGATTAATTTTAGGTGAAAATCTA